ATTAAAATTTCTCACGAGTCTCTGCGTCTCTCTTTCACTCTATCCCCCCACTTTTGCTCTCTATCAAGCAACGATAAAACGAAACGAGGAGAAAACGCGACTGCCGCCCGATAATCACACTTTGGCCACGGTCTTCGTCGGGGATTCGACGAGTGTTCGCGACGACATCGATCCCGGAAGCTGCGCGAGTTAAAAATCCCGTCCCGTTAGAGTTCGTTAACGTTGTTAACGTTTCGATCCGCGCGTTACTTCTTACGAGAAAAAAAAAAAACAACAACGATAAAGAGCCCTCGATTTCCCAGTACCGTACGAACGATAAACAGCTTTTGATATATTATTTGTTCAATAAAAGTTTCGGTCTGAATTATACGATCGATTTATGTTCCGCGTCGGGCGAGCAAAAGCTTATCCGAACACAGACCGTACAATGGAATATACGCTGCGTATAAAACTGCTATTCAGGGTCCGGCAATTTAGTCATTTATTATTGAAACAAATATTATAATCGAATCAAATTGATCGTGAAGAACAAAGAAAAACGGGGAAACGAATGGCGGGGTTATTCGAATTATTTTCTATCGAGATTTCTCTTTCGTGGAGGATTATTTGAGCATACTTGTTCTACTCGTTGACCAACTGGATTTTATTAACGAATAGTTGGAACAACCAATTCCTTTATTATTCGAACGAAAAGAATGTTCCATTATACATTAGCTTCTTCGAGTGTATCGGTGCATACGCGTCGATACCAATTTGAATTCTGATTCGTTTCGAACGGTTACCAATAGTTTCGAGGCCATTCGGGTTAGTAATTTGTATGCCAAAATGTAGTTCTTTGTACGAAAGCACATGCTGCGCAGTAACTGATATCTCAACGGTTCAGCGTGCCAATTTCGAACGTGTACGAAATTCATTGAGAAAACACGTACGTGCCAGCATTAAAATGAATGGCCACCATTTTGTGCGCCCGTGGTCGTCCAAAGGGCCATCGACGTCCGAATTACGGAATATCTTCGAAACTTCGTGACTATCGATTTCTGGACATTCAACGAGACTCTTTTAACTTTGTACCATTTTGCATTGTTTTGATTTATTATGTACCATTGACTATAAGACGAACTACCGTACATTTCTGCTGAATGCATCGCGAATAACAGGCGTGGCAGTTAACGCGTTAACAAACTTTTACGTTCTCTTTGTGTTTTTTTACAATAATTATCAACTGTGGCTAGGAACATTACACACGCCTCGAGGACCGCGGGAACACGCCCGCGGTAAACGCGTTGGATATGAGTAATAGCCGCAGACTAAAAAAACAAAATCCACTCGACCTCCCTAAAAGATTCGCCAACAGAAACTGAGACTCTTAACCCCTTTAAAACTGTGCGCATTAAAATGTAAATAAAATTCATCGAGTTAACGAACGTATGTACGTCTTTTACTTTACGTAGAAGCTGAAACGCTTTGTGCATAAACGTGTTCAAACAAGAAAAAAAGAAAAAAATATATATTATACAGGGTGTTCGGCCACCCCTGGGAAAAATTTTAATGGGAGATTCTAGAGGCCAAAATAGGACGAAAATCAAGAATATGAATTTATTGATGGAGGCGAGTTATTAACGTTTCAAGTTCCGCCCATACTGAATTTTTTCCTCGAAAATACACGGGATTTCGGGGCTATGTCTGTTCACCGAAAATGATTATAATCTACCCCTGCAACTAGAAATAATTTTTTTAGAACGATTTGAAATTTTTTAATTTCGCCGATAAAGACAATCTTCTTGATTTTTTTTCTGGAAAGTGGATAGGATTTTGGGGGTGTGTCTATTCACCAAAAATGATTGTAATTGACCCCTGCAACTAGAAATAATTTTTTTAGAACGATTTGAAATTTTTGAATTTCGCCGATAAAGACAATTTTCTTGATTTTTTTTCTGGAAAGTGGATAGGATTTCGGGGGTATGTCTATTCACCAAAAATAATTGTAACTGACCCCTGCAACTAAAAATAATTTTTCCAGGACGATTTGAAATGTTTTAATTTTATCGAAAAATTTCACACCTTCTCGAATTTTTTTCTAGAAAGTGGGTAGGATTTCGGGGGTATGTGTGTTCACCAAAAATGATTATAATTGACCCCTGCAACTAAGGATAATTTTTTTAGAACGGTTTGAAATTTTTTAATTTTGTGGAGAAACTTGTCCATGTACTCGAATCTTTTTCTCGAAAGTACGTAGGATTTCGGGGGTATATGTATTCACCAAAAACGAGTGTAATTGACCCCTGCAACTAAAAATAATTTTTCCAGAACGATTTTAAATTTTTTAATTTAATTTTTTTTCTTGATTTTCCGTATTATAAATTACTTGAATCCATTAGCTCGTTAAAATTATATTTAATATATTTTAAGAACGTTAATCAAAAAATTGAGTGTCACTCACGACTGGTGATTTGAAAGTTCTCGATTCTGTTCCTCTAAAATGGCGAGACGAATACCATTTGCTCGCGCGAGAAAGAAAACTGTTCCCAAGACGGGCGTACGGTTCCCGTGCGATATTAAATGTTGTTCGCGAGGACTGAAGCAATCTGTGACGTAGAATGCACACATCGGGCATTATTAATCAGACGTTTGAACTGGAGCAGGGAAGTGTTTGTCGACGTGCATGTGGACGCCCGGATGATTTATGAACTTGGCCGATACTGGCTCCCGCGTTGGCGTTACGTTGGCGAAAGCAGTTCTTAAGGGAGCAGTCTTGAGCGCAATTTTATACCAAACAGAGACTAAGAAAATTGTTTATCGTTCACTCGTCGTTCGAAGCTTTTCATCCAGATAAGAATTTAGTCGATCTCTAACTAGGAGTCCTTGCCCTCCGCTTCTGTGAACAATAGGCATTCAACAAATAGAATTTCTAAGTCACTTATTCTTAATTATACTGTAATCTAATGCAACATCCATTTCTGTTGGCTACACCGGCCTCTTTTGTCTCGTCGAACGCTCGCTGCTTCTACCATTAAACGAATTACTCGCCTCTTACCGGATCAGCAAAATTCTTCAGATATAACCCCGGTTCTCACTCCCATCACTGTCAAGATTTATATAATCGTATTAAATCCTTTGTGAGATATTCGTTATTTCGAACATCTGCATCGATCTTTTAAAAGTGTAACCATTACAACCACCAATATATTCGTACTGTATGAAGCTATAAAGACTACCCTTGAAACGTGTCCCTTCGATACGACAATGATACTGTTAATCGTTACTATACGCCATACGAAATTTGAACATTTTCCAAAATGAAATTCTGCATTCAAATTCTATCCACGAGCTATCTCAATCTATCCAGCTAGCCCAGCGTGCCTGACACCTGCGCGATAAAACATCCGTGCTTCGGTATTTTCACGGATTTTAATAAAATCATCCGGGAGTATATTTTTAAGATCCGAAGCTGTAAAACAATGGGAAAGGAATTCGATTTTTCAGCAGTACCAGACTAGAATAACCCATTAAATCTCGTCGATTCCGACGCGAAACTTGCAGCCTCCATGGACTGTATAAAACGAAATTTAAAATTTAATTCTACGTTGGGGGGGAGAGTGGCTTGCATACCCGCGCGCACTTAATACCCGCCTGGCAATATAAGCCGCTGTTAATAACCGGCGGGAGTATTTCGGGGCAGTTTCCATCGGCTGGAAAAATAGTAATATCCCACGAAGGGGGTAAGTAAGGGTGCATTTCATTACAGGGAGTCCCTCAGCGAGCGTGAGTTATCAGGATTAGAAGAATTCCTACCTCCCTTTCGATATCAGGAAATTAATTATGAAGTTCGAGTCGCCGGATAAGGGGGAGTAGTGGAACCGTGATACACGTTCCCCGGCGAGGAACGTGATTCGATATATTTAACTGTTTGTGGCCTCGCGACCCTCGATTCGTTCCTCCGCTATCCACGTTTGACAATAAACCAACGAACCGCGATAGCTTTTGTGCTCGTTGATTTTCGCGAAATCGTATTTGCACATTTAATCCGAGGTTACATTTTAAAAGGGCATTTTTCACCGTGCTGCGCCCCACTAATGCACCTACGTATTTTTAGTTTATTTCGACATAAAGGATCGCCCGTGGCTTTTACGCCAAATTACGAAAACTGAATTTAGAGGTTAAAAGGAGAGAGGCGTGTTATATAAAGTTTGCGAATAAACGCTTTATATAAAGCTACTACCAAGTTTTCGAAACAATTCCAGTCGTACATCGCCTCTTTCACGCTTACGTATTTTAGATATATTTTGTAATGTAGTTCATAAAAGAAACCTCTAAAAAACACGTTTATTAAATTTTACTTCTCTTAAATTTTGTCTCACGACAGTATTCAGAGTGATGTACGTTTATTTCCAATCAACTTTCCCCTGCAATGGCAATTAAGAATAATAAATCTGCGAACCGTGTTATATCCTAACATATTATAATTGAGGTTAGGATTTAAAACAGCGTTTCTAGCTGTAACTAGCCTCTTACGTACTCACGTATTTTATTCGTGTACGTGTACGTATGTTTACTTCAAATACGCCTAACGAAAACGTTTAGCAATGACAATAATACGAAATGATAAACAGCTTTATTAAATTTCGGGTTTGCCTCTTGGTTTAACCGTTTATGGCGATCGAAGTGATTGCGTATCCGGAATTACCGCGGCGCCAGTAATTACTGTATTGGCAATTCGACTAGTGTTACTAATCAGAACTATACTCGCGTCGTCGTTTAATTTCAGCATCGAAATGCGTTTTACGAATCGCTTCGTAGAGACGCCCCGTGCACGTTATCGGTATCGGCGGTACAATGTATCGTGCACAGAAGTTCACACGGCACTGTTGCTCGAAACTAGAATGCTCATTCTTTCGCGTTCCCCTGGAGTTCCCGTGTACAGCTGACTCGCCGCTAGACGAACGTCCGTGACTCATTGTTGTGTGCACACTGTGCGCGCTAGAGGGTTGATGAGTACTTACACCGACAGACGTGGAGTTTCAGCACATTCCCCCGGAGTTGTGCACATCGACCTGGCCCCGGCGTCGATTTCTCGTCAGACACGGCAGACGTCCTGCGGGTCCAATCCCGCCGGCACGGTTCGTCCAACCTCGAGCAGAACCGGTGGATCAACTGGTACACGCGCGTTTCATCCCGGTCACATACGAAACGGTCCGAGACGAACGAACGGTGTCCTTCCCGAATCACTGCCGCTGCCCAGCCACGTGACCGTCCATGGGGAACACTTCGAATTTACGCGAGACACCGGGTGCCTCTGTTCGTACAACGCGTCACGCTCGTGCACACGAATCGACGGGGCCCGGCTACCGGCTGGATGCAAAATGATTCGGCGGGGCCCAGACTCGCGCACGGACCTCGTCGGGACAGACGGTCGAATGAAAAAGTTAAGGACGTACTTTGCCGCGGCGAGCGAAACTAAAACAAAAGGCTCGGAGATCGCAACGGCTGAGGGAGAGAGTAAAAGACAGGGAGAAACAGAGAGAGAAAGCGGATGAACGGACAGCGAGAAAGAGACAGATAGACGTAGAGAGAGGGACAGAAGGAGGAGAGGACGAAAAACCGCGCGGTTTCTCCCTGAGATTTCGAGCTGCACTGCAAACGGGAACAGTCAGTCCTCACTAAATCGGAGTTTGGCTACGTACTCGCGGCTGAGAGACTTTCGGATCTGCGCAGTTGCTCGCTGCTCACCACCACCACTACTCCTACCACCACCACCGCCGTCGCCGTCGCCGCCACCACCACCACCATCGCCACCACCGCCACTACCCACCACCATCGTGCTAACCCCAAACCTTTACGGCTCCTCTCGACTCCAACCCTAACCTCCCAGCCGGCAGCGCCCTAACTCCGCCTGGCGAAAGCTCCAAGCCACGCGTGAACACGAGATTATTCTTACTCGCCGAAAATTAGTTCCAACAAAGTTGGCCTACAGATTAAATCTACGCGGATGTACATGCCGTGTGTATGCCTAGGCACGGTAACGCACGTACGCGGAATAAATGCGGTAATTGCGATTCAAAATTTACGACTGGCATCGCGGTCGATGCGATACTGATCACAGGGAATCGATGCAGTCGGTTGAGGTTAAGGAATTACGCGCGATAAGATTGAACAATTGGCTGGTGATTCGTCGACGGAAAGCATCCGATCTGTCTTTGACATTTCGCGTTAAACAATGTATTAATATCTGTAACAGGAATGTAGTATTTACCGTGTATGTCGTCGGGTTACGTGTGAAATTTCTGTACAATTAGTTACGAATTCTCTCACGATCGATCCGTACGATGTCAGGAATGTTTCGAGACCCATTCTGAGAACACTTTGTCATTCACACCTTTGAGCTGTGTGTCAAGAGTTTTATGGTGAATGTCGGTTCTTGGCCTCCACTTTCTCCGTTGAAAATAAAGGAAACCTATACAAAAACAATAAATAATATTAATAAACACGTCCTTCCAAATGTGATTTCAAAGATACAGGAAGTTAAAGAGGTTAGGACGCGAATAAAATTTGAATGTACCTTGCCAAGGCAATTGCATTTAATACTCTGGCGTCTTCGTATAGCAAACAACAATACGATAATTGTCTAGCTTGCAAAGAACAGCCACCGAGAATCCACGTGAATTGAAACGAAAGGAAGTAATCGCAAGAAACGCGTACGAATTTTACAACGGGAAAGCTTCGATCGTAAAAGAAAAAGATTCTTGTACGGAGTCACGCTTCCTAAAGTTCGTTGCTCCGTACATGTTGTCTCCGCACATTCTGCGGAACGTTGGCCGTTTGCCAAAATCATTCTCACATAATTTCAGGAGAATATAAGCGCCAAAAAATACACGAGATTTATGGCTATAATTCTGCTGTAAATTTATAATCGGAAATATAATATCTGAAAATTTTATGTGGAAAATGTTAACGTGACTCGGCTTAATTAAATTTGATACGTTCGTGCGATAATGCTATCGCTTTAATTCATAGAGATCGCTAAAATATACGGCAAAAGAGTATACATATTCATATAGTATATACCTCTGTTTCATCGTAGATGATAGGATAATGTGAAATCATACGTTTTACTAATTAGCCAAGAGACATCAGATGCACAGTTTATGAAGTAAAACGATGTAAGATGATGTATTTGCACAATGTAATACGCGTATCTAATGTTCGTTAGTATATTCTTCGCATTGTGTACAATGGTATTATTTGAAAGTACTGTTTCTTTTATCGTCAGTCAAAGAAATAACATGCGTTGCAATCTGATCTAACCGATATCCCACTGCCATCTACTGTCGTAGATAAAAAACGCATGATTTGATCATACGTCGATAAAGTAATCGTTTATCTTTTTCCAACGACTAATAAATGTTTATATTTTATATTGATTGCATTTAAATAAATTTTTAAATAAACTTATATGAAATTATATATTTAGAATTTACGTCAATGAATACTTTCAACAATTAACTAATTATACAATTATACAAATAATAGAAACAAAGAAACGTAGTATTTTTAAGTTATTTATCTTAATAAGGTATTTAAAAAACAATAAGCTTGAAAATAGAGTTCCTGAAAGTTGAATACTCGTGAAAATAGAACAAATATCTATCACCGATAGCGTTAAAATACTCTAGTTTTTTTTTGTGGTTGAATGCACATAAATGAATACGAAGATAAATCAAATGACCTTAAACTGTGATAACTACGTTAGTACATCATGAATAAACAACATGATGGAGCTGGAAAATATGAAATACACACGTGTACAAGTACGAATATAAAATAAATGCGCACGCTTTGCAGATGAATATGAAAAAGTATGTAATAAACACGATGTATATACAAGATGTACCCAGATAAATCCCGAAGTTATATCACTGGTTAAACATTTTTAATTCGTTAGCATGCGCGTGATACACGTCAGACGATTCTGTTCGATGTTATATTTAAATCCGTTTCAAACGACACATCCTGTTTCGTACGTTATACGTTCAGCGAAATAAATTAAATTTATTCAGCCATACGCGTTTTATTAGATGTCGCAATAAAAAACATTCGGAACGAAATATCTGTTACATTAAAAATAAAATAAAAATAAAAATGTGCCTTTCGTAAGTTCAATCGCGTTTTGCATTGTTTGTAAAACTTGTTACACTTAACCCCATAAAAAAGCTCTGCACGGACCGATTTATTAATCGCCGGTGTTCCTGCGACTCCTTCGTTTAACTATGCTCGAGAAAAGGTTAAACCACGGTGCATTTGTTCTAAGAGGGGAATTAATCTCGAACGATAATTCAAAGCCACGTTATCGGGAAACCTAATGTCAATTGCAAAGTTAATCGATACCCTCTCTCTCGTTCGCCGTAGAGATACGAGTGGGATTGGCAGGTCGTTGTTCCTAGTCAAGATCATGAGATCCCCATTCCGGACATTTCGCAATGCCTGGCGTAATGCCTGACCTCCGCTTCCAATTCTGCCGAATGCAATTCTTCAGAATTCGACGTGCTGCACTCATCACTCAATCACGCATTGACTACGTGAACAAACGCTATCAGACGTACGAGTGACACGTACCATATCCAAGCCATATCGATTTCCCATTGTCCTCTATAGGCATCTAATATGCATACACATTTGCCGTATTGTGACTAGAGCAAAAATATCGTATAGCCGTAATAATGGTTTTATATACATTGGCTCTCGATTAGCAACACGATTACAATCGTAGAATTTTAATAAACTGTTCGTCGATATCTTTCATTTATTTGTTGCTCACAGACAAAGCACATGCATACGATACGAGTCGTGTCGTTTCGAATAATGCGAATATCAGAAGAGATCAACTTTTTTTAACTACACTGTTTTGCCGGTATTCGAGCCACCCAATTGGTCGCCCCATCTCTCGGTTAGTCCTAACCTAAGTTGCGTACCTTGATCATACACATATGTACTTACGTATGTGTCTACAATTTGTATAACCGTGCGGAAGAGATGCGATGCTCATTGTCGGTTCAGAATCGCTTAAGTGTCTTATCTCTCGGCTGATAATATTCACAACGGCCATTCATACGTGGGCATAAAGAAGTCGTCGAATAAATATATTATCACGGTTATTTAATTAACAAATTAAACGTTCAACGACAGTCTTCGACGTTATTGTCGAAGCAATTCTTCGACGAAATTAGATAGAACGCAGGCGCATGTTGTGTCACCGGTGTCCAGTTCAGTGTTAATCGTTATTCTTTGGTTATTCGGTGTTAAAAGTGTTATTTGTGAAAGTAACCATCAAAGGATAACGATACGTGACGGAAAAAGAAGTGGAGCGTATAAAACAAGGTATATATTTCATTTATATGCATATATACACTTCGCGTAACAAGGACTATAAAATACGAAATAAATCGATTCGTATCGTATGCAATAGCGTCGTTAGTCATTGATAATAATATCATAATATGTTATAATAATTGCACACGGATTTATCCAAATAATGGATAATTAATAAGCACGTGTCGAACGTAATCCGTTGAACACGATCGTGATGTTACTCGGTTGCACGTATTACGTGATAAAGAAAATTGGAATAATTTGAATACTCGCGTTTTGTGAACGTGACACTATATGCGTGTGCGTTAATGAATTAATGTCAAGTAGTTATAACCTGTTTTTGAAAAGGGTTAGTTTAAGAGCGCATGCGTTCGGTGTGTGTACATTTCTAAGATTCATCGTGCTCTGTACCCTCTTCGTACAAAGGGATATCAATTATCGAACGACATAATTACGACGAATTGTGAACGGACGTAGAAACAGTCGCCAGGTCGAATATTCGTAAACGCGTGGAAGATCGAATTTCATATCCAATTGGTAAGCTACGCCTTCGAAACTTTTGAGAGGTTAGGATATTCAAATCGAGTCCAACTCTCATTCACTGGATTTTTTTTTACCGACAATAAGATTCGTGTGAACGATAAGGGGTACGAAACGTGTTACGTATGTGCGTTTAAACGTTTATAAAAGGACGAATGGAGGGAGGGAAACATAACACCCCGAGAAGACGCGCGTCGCAAAACTAATACGACGTAGAAAGAACGAGAGTGCGCATCAGTAGATTTTACCCTGACCTCGGTCAGACAGAGACGGTTTAATTTAACCGGGTCTCGACAAACTCACACTTCAATCTATCTCTGTCCAGTGCCACGTTCAAATCCACAGAACGCTCGTGATTTAACCTCACTCTTCCGTGGATAGAAGGATACACCTTTCCGGTACGTAACGTGCATTTTCGGTATCTGGTATGAATTCTAAACATAGCGGCACTTTCGATCGAAAACGAAACGCTGTCCGGTGAATCATAAAAATTCATGACGTCGCCGGAATCGTAAGCTCCTTACGAATATTCATACGATAAAATTCATTGGAAACCGGTGTAAATGTCGCTCGTGTGTGTTGCAGTTATAAGAAACAATAAAAAATCGCGGATCAATAATGTGAATATTTAATCGTACATTCTGGGTCCTCTTCGAACGATTTTTCAAACGTACAAATTTCACTTTTTCCGTGAGTTAAAAATACATGCAAGAAAATAAATTGCAAATTTTAGTTTATTGCACCGATAGTAAGAATTTTTTTTTTTTGTTAAATATGATTTCATAACGCGCAACATGAGCGTGCCAATTTTTCAGTATTGCAGTGTATTAAATTAAAAAATTATACACGATTATTTTTAACTTTAAAATAAATTAATACAATTATACATCTGAATGTATTTCCTTTAAAACACGTAATGTTTTCCTGAGCATAAAAATAACAAGGACTTTGTACCAGACAGTTGATTCACGGAAAGACAATAAAAATTTCAAATTGCCGTACGAGCGTGTCCATGTTGTCGTTTACATAATCGCGTCTCGCGCGAGGGTTAAAGTATAACTGTAAACGTAGAATTGTTTACGAATTTCAGTTTCATTTTTAATATCGTAACGCCGGGAACATTTGACGCATTCGCCGACCCAGACGGATAAAGAACTCGATAAAAAACAGATCTTGAAACGCAGCCATAGATAAACTGTAGAAAGGGTGTGGGGAGAGGGGGGTAGTATGAGAAAAGAACCGAATCGCTTCATCTAACGAGAGCAGTCGGATTTCGCGTAAATTCCACTTCAAAGCGTCCTCAACACCGATGTTTGAAACCCCGAGCGTGAAAGGTGGGCGTATATAAAGACGATATTTGCAAAAAGTATGAATGTCTCGCCGGGAGTCTGAATGCAAATGACTCGATCCCCAACACGCGCCGTTGCCATCGTGTTTGGCGGAGGGGGGTGGGGGGTCAGGTCGATGTGTTCCTGGCTAGGTTGGAATTCAAAATCGGAAAGATTTGTGGCGCCAAAGGCGAGGCGATGGCGAGAAATACAAGGACGGATCGAAAGGGGGAAAATACGCTTCCTCACACCACAGCCTTTTTGAGGGGGGGATAGTAATGGTCCGGGCCGAAGGCGAACTATACGTAGAAAGCTGATGGGGCAACGGAGCGTGCAACGCGTAGCATTCTGGCGGAAAGCTTTCCGTTGGGCTTCGTCTGTGAAGTTGACTGCTGGCCAGAGGCGTCGCCACGCGTTTCTTTGTGCGCAGCCCTCGATGGTCAGCATGAAAACTTCTCGAATGTCATTCATCGGCTTAATGAACATGATTGTACTCGGAATTTAATAGGTACAAATTACTACCATTAGGCGTGCGTGTATTATCAGTGGATCGGTGGTAACAGATGGAAGCACGCGTTCGTTCCACAACGACCAAACACGAACACACACGAATGATTTTGCAATGTAAATGCATCTAAAATACTCAATATATGCATTCGATTCTTAGAACAGACTGACGTATTATGTTCTTTGTACTGGTAAAACGTCGACAGTTACTTGGAATTTGTATTCATTCGTGATGTCGAATATTAAATGTTTCCATACTTTTTATTCAATTAACAAAATACAAATCAGTAAGGTCGGTTAAATACGTATTGAAATATATTTTGCTCGTTCTATCTTTATGCTTTTATCGTTACAATTTTTCGTTTTAAACAATCCGTCAAACACCAGGAGTTGAAAATTTATAATATCGGTTTTGATTACGGTTCTGTATAGTGGGCATGCTTTAATGAAAGTTAAGATTTCTGTTATTATTGGAAACTTTTCGGAGATTTTATTTGTTACCGATTAATCGCTTATCGGCGGAACAATGACGCGATAATTAAATTTGCATCTCGAGCATCGGGGGCCTGGATCGCTAACAAAGTTAACGATAATAATAATTCAGCGAGTAAAAGGAAGTTTCTTTCTAAATAGTACCTAAAACATCAACAAACAGCCCTGAACGGTGCTTTACAGAGACGATTAACGTTTCTGGCTCAACAGTCTGTGGCGCCGCGCATTGTTGCTTGGAATTACCGACCGCCAATTGCAAAGTCCGCTTCTAACTGACAATTGCTCCACTTGCTTTAAACCATTAGTACTCGCCAGTTATCTTGCTGGCAACACACCGCAATGTGCATCGCCGTCGTAACGGGCCAAAGTAAATCTCTACGACGGAATTTTTCTTTCCGTTCCCTCTGTAGCATTCGCCCGCAATATTGTATACCGGAAGTCCCGAGACAAGGAAAGAAATTGCTCCGCGACTCGTTTATATTTCCGAGGTCGCACTGATGGCGTCCCTAATGTATTTACTCGAACGTTTAACGAAATGAGAAAAATAACGGTCAAGCCAAAGGTATTCCTGCAACGTCTTTTCCCTCGTTCGTTTTGTACTAGGGTTTCATCCGTAACTATAGAGGTTGCGTCGTTATAGTCGTAGTTCTTAACGATATTGAATTAAGAATCCAAACAGTAGACTAATCCAAAGGCATAAGTTCTTGTCTCGAACTTGTGCCTTAGGCTAAAATAAAATTGTAAAGCCAAATATAACGGTGCTTTATTTTAATCTATAAACTAAAAAATAAAATCACCTATTTGCTATTTACAATATAGGAAATATTTTTTTAGTTATATGAAATTCTTACGGTTCGTTCTTATTCCAGATATTATTCCACGCTCCCCAAAATGGCGGGGCCACTTCTGCTGATAGCCATACTCGCTACATCAACGTTCGCTTATAACGGCGAATTAGTGGAACAGGAATGTCCCGTGGACTGTCACTGTCATTATTTTCGCATCAACTGGGTGACCGACTGCTCCGAAAGCAATTTGACGAGCATCCCTTACGAGGATCTCAGCTCTAACGTCTACGTCCTAGATATGAATGGTAACAACATCGCACAGATCGATCCGTTTCCACACGCGATCAAGATAAGGCGTCTCCAGATGGCGCATAATCAATTGACCGAGCTCAAGTATGAATCGTTCGCTGGATTAACTTACCTACTGGAAGCGGATTTCTCGTCGAACGCGATCACTCATGTCGATCCCGAAGCGTTCAGGTAAGGGACACTCGATTCGAATTACACGAAAAAAGTGTAAATGGTTTTATCTAAAAATCTTGGAGCAATGTTTGCTCGTTATGTATATTACAAACTTATTATATAACGCACCTCTTTGCATTAGCTTCAACATGAACTGTCTTGCAAAAACTAGCGAACTTAATCAATTTTTTGCCTGTAGAATACTGCACATGATAATTCAATACTATATGACGGATTTGATTCTTCGACAGGGACAATCCCGGCTTGATTACGCTGGAACTTCAGAACAACCCCTTGGAAGAGGTCCATGGTCCCTTCCTAAAATGTCGAACGCTGCTCTATCTCGACCTAAACACGTGCGGCATCAAACGTCTCAACACACAGTTTTTCCACAACACGACAAACCTGAATAAGCTCGACTTGTCTCACAATCCGCTTGGAACCATAGAACCAGGCCCGTTCGACCATCTGACCAATTTGGAGTATCTGAAATTAAACGATTGCAACCTGACCTATGTTTCGCCAGACGCGTTCAGCCAGCTGGAGAACCTTCGCGAGCTCGAGATGGCGGAGAACGATTTGCGTATGTTGTCCTGGACAAGCGTGCTGGCTCCGTTGGTACGACTGGAGCACCTGGACATCAGGAAGACCGGCATCACGAACCTGCCGGGCGACGCTTTCGCGAAAAATTTGTATCTACGGCAACTGGTGCTGGCGGACAACGAGTTGTGGCATTTGGACGTTGGCAACACCCTAGGTCACAATCTGCATAACCTCCAATCTCTGGACTTGTCGAATTGCAACTTGCAAGATCGTCTGTCGGAGGAGGCATTCAGAAACGCCAGCAAATTGCGCGTGTTAAACCTGAACGGCAATCCAATGTTCGCCGCCGACCTTTCCGCGGTGCTGCGCCATCTACCAAAGCTCCATAAGCTCTCCTTGAACAACTGCAGCCTGCGACGACTGCCGGACGCGTTCCACGTTTTCGAGCATCTGGAGGAACTGGACATCTCGCACAATCCATTGTCGAACGCGTTCGTCAGCCTTCTGAACCCGTTGGAATCCTTGGAATACCTCGACATGTCCTACTGCAACCTTGGCCACGTCAGGAACAACACGTTCGCCCACATGACTTCCTTGAAAAGATTAATATTGTCTGGAAACGCGTTGCACACCCTGGAGGAAGGCTTGTTCGCTAACCTGACGCGCTTGGAGAGTCTGGAGCTGAACAACTGCGACCTCAAGACCCCCATCGACCCGAAGGTGTTCGGCGATCGTGCCAGCACCGACATAGTCGAGCTGAAATTGAGCGGCAATCCGCTGGAAGTACCCGATGACGGGTCTCTTCTTCCAGAACAATTGTCCAACCTCGAGATGCTCGATCTCAGCAACTGCAACTTGTTGCACCTCAACGAGAATCTGTTCGCGAACACGAGGAACCTCACGCAGTTGAACCTGTCGCGTAACAACATCTCCGGCACGGAGAATCTGGTCTGTTTGAAGATGCTGCGCGGCTTGGAGCACGTAGATCTCAGCAACAACAACCTGACCACGATCAACCCGAAGGTGTTCAATAGGAACCCGCGTCTGTTGTCGGTGAATCTGCTAGGCAATCCTTTCACCTGCAACTGCTCGATCGCGGACATGTGGGACTGGGCGGTGCACTTCAAGAACGATCTCCACGTGTTGGTCGGCAGCCAGCCAGCCAACTTCGAAACCGGGGCTGCGAAACTGAGACGGGCGCTGAGCTGCACCTACGACGAGGAGACCTATCGCAACTTCCTGGAACAGATACAAGCTAGCGGCGACCAGCGCAGACTTAGAAAAGGTGACCTGGCTCCCACCCGTACCTGGGCGAAGTACGTACGCGAGTCCCAATGCGGTCACACTTCATGATATTTGTACAACACCCAGCATCCCTTGATGTCCGTTTACCGCCACAGGATACGCAAACACCGGACCGAGCTCTAATCGTGTCTTGTCGATAATGCGCAGGGACGACGTGCTCGCTGCATTATTCGTTATTTATTAACCCTCTACTGGCATACCCCGTTTTTTGTTTCAGTGACATTTAACTACTATAGGTTCAGTCGTTTAGCTTGAGTATTAATTAATTTATGACCGTGTAAATAAATAGGAAACAGTTTCGTTTTTGGAAATATGAAGTACGGTTCGCGCAATAGAGGGTTAAGATCGCCGGGGAATCCAAGATCGTCCTTTACTTCCATCGCGTACGAGTTTATTTTTGTAGGCGTAGGATTAAGATCCATTAATTAATAATTGCGCGCGTGACGTCAGGATGTTGAAATATTTTGTACGACGGTGGGAACGAAACATGGAAATTTGATTAATACTGCAAGGTGCTGGAATTTTAATACGTCTTAAGGCCAACGGATATGCTTCCTTGTTCTAGCCAACGTTCTAACCTAAGAGCCACTTTCTTAGCGTTTGTATATGAGAAGACGCGGTACTACGCCAACGGCTTCTAGCTGTGATATCGAAACGAAGTAGTAGTACGTCGTCTGCCGTTAAGGCTATAATAGACCGTTCGAAATTGACTTAAGTAAATCGTTATATTTGTTCCTCCGACTATATGCTGTACGAGCATGTATTGTGTGTAATTTAAGATGTAATATCTGCGGCGTATGTTGCTATGAAGTCTGTTTTAATCACGGGATCGTCGTTGCGAAATCAGGTCGTCGAGCAAAGACAGTTTCGAGCGATCATTTTTATTTGGGAACGTTGACTCCCTTTCTCTGGCACGAAAGGAATAGCATCGAAGTATCGTTACGTGAAACGCGAGCGTTCAAATATCAAACAAGGACACTGGCCGCCTACCGCTTGATAAATACATTGGAACGTTATAAACGATGCGTAATTTTTTATTCGTTATTGAGACGAATAGATCATAATTACAAATTATCCTTTGTAATCAATCAGTCGAGTTTCAACTCGTGACGCCATACTGTTTTGCCATGTTTAACGTGGAAATTAATAATTCGAAGCAGGGTCAAGATTCTTTGTTCCGACGTGACACCTTAAGTCGTATTTCGAATTAGCCTTGCTGAGCAGGCAAAATTAGCACCCTCACGTGTCTCGAAGTGCGCTCGTTAGAACTTGTTGGACGTTGAAATGTAATCGAATCTGCAAACGGAGAAATTCCCGATCGTAATTATCGAATGGTAGAACAAGGCTACATCGTAGATAGAGTTTGGGTGACGGTGTCTCTCAGGGCATCAGAGTATCGAGAAACTCTGAAATCCATGACGAAGTTATGAAGTTCTCGAAAGTTAAAACTTGCATCGCGCTGAATACAGAGATTCCGTGCTAAATAACATGGAGTTTCTAGCTCGTGTAAGCATGTCGTGATTAACAATTACAAGACCCTTGCATGCTCGTGTATGACTGTATCTCTTATTGTCGTGTTATTATATGCGAGCGTGTGTTACGTAAAATTATGGACGTCGTCAGGGATATCCTTCACTCTGGAAACTCAATTGTTCGAACCATTAACCCTCGTCTGGTAGACTAAAGCCAAAGTGCACTATTTTTTTTTTAAATACTGTATTTAAGTTATCGTAGAAATCTAATTTATCGTTTATTGGAAGGGTTTTGCATTAATCGTTAAAGTAACAAGGTTCATGAACCTTAGCTAGGTGTAGAAAAATATTACTAATTACACAGGGTGTGCATGTCTTTTGCAAATCGTTGTTTCATGAAAAATAGAATGTTTCTGTATCGATCAAGATTATGCAGTTCGTGCATTCTGATATGTAGACTTTGATTATACAGGAAGTATAGGTGCAACGCGTGACGTAAGTACTTGCTATCACCGTTCCGGGTCTAGATATCGCTGATTGTGCATCACACTGCCGTTCTAGAGTTCAGTTCAGACCGTTTCTCTTCTTTTTTATATTAAAATGAGATACCCTGTGTAACGAGTACTCCACCCTACCAGGTGAGGACTTAACCCTCTGTGTTACAGATTCGTTATTTACTCGTTCTTTATTGTATATTTATTAAGTCCTATCGTTTAAAATATTTTTCTTAAACTGCGTTTTCTATCGGTAAGGTTATGTCACGTACTAATTGTTAATTGCTAATTAACGATACCCCGCTAAGAAATGCTTCTTTTCTCTGTGCGGATATATACTTATGTTTTTCTTTTTTTTTTTTATACGAAATGCTGTCTTCTTTTAACCAGAACGTGTTCTCTAGCAGTGTCCATGTATAAATAGAGTACCTATATGATACTTGGGTTCCCATTCGAGCCATCACTCGAACAATGCAGCGAATATTTGATTCCAATATACATAACAAAACTTCCACCAAGGGGAACACGTACCTTTGAACTAGACTAAAGATTTTAGTTCCTTAAGGTCACTTATGTAGCCTGTCTCGAGGACTCGTTATGTTTTACCGTGCGTTGATTATTATGTACACGTTTAACGTGAATTTAGATCATAATTTTTTGTAAACAAATAACGGAAAAGAGTTATTTATATATGATTTTTATCCGGATAAGAAATTTGCTCGTCTTTGGGGGAAAAGATGTAATGATATGGTCCGCGTAGATAACTCGGTGACCTTGAGTAACTAAAAACTTGGACTCCGTCTGCAGTACAGAAACGATGATTCAAATACACGTCTGTTATGCTGATCCCCCGGTGAAACAGATACGGGAATCAGATTTTCAGTCGCTGTCGCTTGAAACAACGCAAATAAAATCAAGTGCCGGTACGGTTTCACTATATTCATGAAATGTATAAGACTGTATTTAATAAAGGAGTCATTTTTCTTGGTATGTCGTTGGTTCTTTATCTACAACTAAATTTCATACACTTACAATACGTAAACAAATAATATTTACCGTATTAAGTATACAACATTTGTTAAATGATATTAAATACACTCTTATGTTTTAACAAAAATGAGAATAAAAATGGCAATTCGTGTCACCTTGTATTTAGAGTATAACTAGTGCATTGATAGAGCATTCTATTGTTTCCTGCCATATCTATAGCACAATACAATTAATAAAATTACGATAATAATAGTTATGTCACTCGCTATACAGGGTGTTCAGCCACCCGTGGGAAAAATTTTAATGGAGGATTCTAGAGGCCAAAATAAGACGAAAATCAAGAATACCAATTTGTTGATGGATACTTCGTTAAAAAGTTATTAACAATTAAATTCAAAAGTTTCAAATCGTTCTGGAAAAATTATTTTCGGTTGTGGGGATCAATCACAATCATTTTTGGTCATTACACATACCACCGAAATCCTACGCACTTTCGAGAAAAAAATTCGAGGTGTGAAATTTTTCGACGGAAAAAAAAAATTTCAAATCGTTCTGGAAAAATTATTTTCGGTTTGGGGGGTCAATTACAATCATTTTTGGTGAATAGACATACCCTCGAATTCCTACCCACATTCGAGAAAAAAATTCGAGAAGATGTGAAATTTTTCGACGGAAAAAAAAAATTTCAAATCGTTCTGGAAAAATTATTTTCGGTTTGGGGGGTCAATTACAATCATTTTTGGTGAATAGACATACCCTCGAATTCCTGCGCATTTTCGAAAAAAAAATTCAGTACGGGCGGAACTTTAATCGTTAATAACTTTTTAACAAAGCCTCAATCAACAAATTGGTATTCTTGATTTTCGTCTTATTTTGGGCGCTAGAATCCCCGATAAATGTCTCTAAATTGAATTATATGAAATTAAGTACTAAGTCTTAACCAATTACACTTAATGCGTAATAATAATTTTCTCGACTATACTTCGCACCATCTGCTCGTGAAAGAATTGATATCTCAATAATAACGTGCATGTAGCTAGAGAACTAAATTAACGGAACATTATCAAGTTCCGCCAATTGTACAATAACGATGCACGCATTGTAGAATTATAGTGGATATAGGCGATAATTATATAGACGTATCAATGACAGCAAGACGGAATCGAGAAACAAAATTTTTTGTAAACATGTCCAATGTACCAAGAGAATATGATTTTTCATATGATGTCAGAAACAGGTAATTATATTTTAATTTCTAATCGTTAATGTTTAGCATATTGCAATCTTGTTTCCTTGGACAGGCGGTGATCGTTGCCACAGTCCTAACCGCAAACGTATCTGCGTGTTTACATGTCTGGAGCTAAGAAATACGAGACATATAGGATTATAGTATTTTCTGATTTACGAAACTATGGCGTGTCACGTTTAAAAAGACGTGTGTGGTCAGAAAACGGTAGACCATTTTTCCCAGCACGCTATTATTATGTTATTACCACATTAAATTCATATATGGTTACCATATTAATTTATAATATATTTACTAAAATTTGTTTTAAAAGTGCTACCGTATATCTTTTTTTTTTTTAAACAACGTATCAAATGAAATATGAAAATCATTAGAAACACTCACTCACTCACAATCATTTAATCACAGATTTGTGACGAAACTGAGATAATATTCATCCAGACGTATTTGTGAGACAATAGTTTACCTAGAAATAGATATCGTGTGTCATAATGTTTCATGAAACGGGCGCGATTTATCAAGGGTAAACGCAACACGCATTGAGTCCAGTGTTTCTCAAACTGCCTACGAGTTCTCAGAGACAAAAAACTATATGTATATTATATGCAATCTTGCTATAATCCAAGGAAAGAAGTTTTAAATTGCAATTATGTCGCCAATTTGTTCAGTAATTTTTTATCACTAGCATTGTTAAGCAAATTATAGTGATTAGCACCTACGGTGTGCAAGGTTAGGTATATCGTGAAATGATACGTACGGTGAGTCACAGCTAAAATCGTACACCACGTACGAAAATATGTTTCGTTCGAAAAAAGAAGTTTAGGAATGATTTGGGAAAAAAAATAAGGCAGACGTATCAAAATTAAATCTAACATCTGCCACTTAATTTCTAAGAAGCAGTATCGTCTCATGAAATTTAGGTTAGACCAATTTTTCGCCGAGTTTTATCAATATTGTTTTTGTACTGATAATATATTTATCATTGTCCATCCTATTTCTGTGCAAAGTCATAAAAGATAGCAAATTGTATTGGTCATTTTCGTTTGTAACGATATGCCTTTATCTAACAGATAATATTCGATAACAAAAAATAATTACTTTTTTAAAATAGACTCAGGAGAGTCTGCTAATTTTGTCACATTTACTTGTGTGCAGTGTTTCACTAAATGTGTACAAAATTTTAATGAAAAGATGCAAAGCTATTCATCGAGAAGATCTGAATGAAGTTGAAGTTTGAGAAACACTGCATTAAGTGATATACAGGGTGTTCGGCCACCCATGGGAAAAATTTTAATGGGAGATTCTGGAGGACAAAATAAGACGAAAATCAAGAATGCCAATTTGTTGATCGAGCCTTCGTTAAAAAGTTATTAACGTTTAAAGTTCCGCCTGTAGAACGGCAATCTGCGTACAGCTGCGTGCACGCGATAGTGGTTCTCACTCAGCATGAGAAACTCCACTTACTGACTCATCGACAGCCTTACAGTTTTTTGAGTGAGAACCACTATCACGTGTAAATTACCGTTCTACAGACGGAACATTAAACGTTAATAACTTTTCAACGAAGTCTCGATCAACAAATTGACATTCCTGATTTCCGTCTTATTTTTACCTCCAGGATCTCCCATTAAAATATTTCCCAGTGGTGGCCGAACACCCTGTATACATTGCACGAACGATCGCGATTAAACGCGAGCAGTCGTCGGCTCTCCGTCGCGTTCGTTACGTGTAAACGCGGCTTCATTGGTCAGACTAAAACTGCATCGTCTCAAAGCAAGACACTATTTCGGTCATTAAACTCGGTAGATCGCTAACGGCCCTCTCGCTCGAAAGATTACCGTATATTCGCGGATCACGCCGATATCCGAAAGTTGAAAGTCACGCTGATATCATTTCGAGGAATAAAATGGCGGCAAACGTCATAACCAAAAAATTCCAAACGCCTTTGCGTCGCGGCGTTGTCGGAAAATACGAATGTAATTAGTTTCCACTTTGTACTATGTATGTGTAACGATTGTCACCCCACGATGACCGCGTTTACACTCTGCGACGACAGTGGATTGGTCGAAACAAGTGCAGCTGCATTACGAGTGCCGATACAAAAGTTCACGTTGTCGTTACGTAACTCGTTACACACCGTGGGCACGGCTCGTGTATTCGCAGCGCGGCGTGCATGTAGGTTGGCATCGATGATGCGCGTTTTATAAGTGTGGGAGCGGATCCGCTGGTGCGCGCGCGAACGAAACTCGGCTGTATCTATAGTCTATACGTCTGTACAGCACCGCGGCTATCGGTACCGGTCGCTCGGCTAGTAAGCTAGTTGGCCATCCAATTATTTGAACGTCATGCGCGCGGACGCGCGAATCTGTACGAAAGCTTCACGATCGGTTGTTGGCTACCGGCATTCGACGGGCAAGGATTGTCAACGGTCCTGACGATCAACGGCGTTTACGTCGTAACAGTGCCGGGACAGTCAGTTGAACGTATCGATAGAGTATAACGATGCTGAACGTGCTCGAGCCACTGCTCGACATCCCAACGGCCTACTACGGGGCGCTACTGGGCGTCGGATTCTGCGTATATTATCTTTTCGAAGTCGTCAAAGTGAGTAAGCCCGGCGCATCTATTTCCCTCCTAACCGTCTTGTAAATTCATCTTGGCCGAAAAAATGTCCTGTCGGGCGTGAATCTACACACGAACGAGCGAACAAGTTAATGACTGTCCACGAACCATCTACGTAATTGGTTACTGAACGTATCGACCGTGCAAACTGTTCCATTATTTATATGGTCGTAGAAGAACGAGTGAGCTGTCGTTCGTAACGTTTTTGTTAACATAGCATTGTTTCCGCGTTAAGAATGAATTTTCCTTAATGATTGTAATTTTTATGACAAGAGAAGATTGTAGCTTGCAGATCGACCGTGGTTCTAGAACTTACGTCTCACTCTGCCTGTAACTAGGGCGTATATAAATAATGCGAAATTGATAAATATCGGTGAAGAAAAATATTGCGAGATTAATAAGTACCGGTGAATAAATTTCCACGGTAATGGTTGCACGCGGTGATTTTTTTTCTTTTTTGTTTTTAAGCTTCGTACAAATTTCAAATTAAACCGTAGTAGAGCCGTTATCGTTTATCCGCAGACTTTTAACCTTCATTAAGCTCAATCAACGCCGCGTTTGGTTCGAAGTCACGCGTATATCGTGTCTGCCTTGATTCTATTGAAGATATCGTTTTAACAGTTAAGAAATTTCGCTCGCGGAATTTGAAACCTTCAATTTATTTTCGTACCGGTGAAATTGACGGGTTATTGACACCGACTAGCCGGTGCATACGACCGTCCAGACGTTCTTTGATTTGCAATCGGAGAAATAAAAAGTCTAATTGACGGCACAGGATTGATTCAATAGTCACCATATTTGATACTTGTTAAACGTACATCAGCATTAATTGTCTCGCAATTGTCGTGCTTTTTTTTTTTGCCTGCGATTATCAATCCGTCCTCGATGCAGTAAACTCGTAAATAAAAAAAGTTTTATGATTTAGAAACTATGTAGAAATTTTTTGATAATTTCACCCATACTCGATAGGAAATATGATTTTTAATTCTAGTGTGCCTTGTATGAACAGAATAATAATAATAAAAAAACTATCGTCACGCGTGTAATTCATCGTCAAGTTCATTGCCCGATAAACTTTTATTCGGAAAGGCATTTATTGAGACAAAATCGGGTTCATCGTCTGCGATTTGTTTGCCTCGGTGCTCGCTATATTGGCACGACTGTCTCGAATTATCGAGTGGCTCCAAAGTACGAAAAATTTTTCTTTCGTCTTATCGCGCGCTTTAAGTGTCTGAAATGCTTAACTCTGATATATTATCAGGATTTCCGCGATATGAATAGTTCGAACTCTTGTACGACCCTTCGTAGCCAGTACGAGCCACGAGGAGATGCATGATTTATTAATTTGACCTTAAAACTCCGAGGCACTCGCCCCGGACGAATTGCGCGCGGGTCAGTGCGTGTACGCGCGCGAGTGCGCGCTAGCCAGTTCCCGCAAACACACACGCAAACGCCGGAACAGGTAACATCGCACGCACCAAATAGCCAGTCGTCAAGAATAATACAATGTTTGAATAGACGGATTTATTGGTACATCTAATTCGTCGTACGAGAGGCCAGGACAGCTTCGAATCATTTTTGCGATTCAAAAGAAACTTTTATGATTTAAAAACAATCGAGCACGAGCGTAGTAACGAAAGATGAAAATCGACTGTAAGTGCGAAATTAACCCCCCACTGACACACTGGGTCTTTTAAGGCAGCGACTCTCAACGCGAACTGGGGCAAAAGAAATTACTTGCACTTGTTTAATTATTTATTTATCAAAAATCTGATGGATTAAAAATTAACCAATCTCTACTATTGTCCTTTGCTCGCGAGTGGTTCTATTTTCGAGAAAATCGGGTTTGAGTATTTATTAAGGACTCGTGCACTTAACCTGCAATCTGTAGAGTTCACAAACAATGTCATGGCAATTAATACCGTGATAGCTTGTCCACTTCTGCTAAGATCGAGCTATCTATTGGTATAACTACCGTTTCTGAAGCTGTTGCAACGATAAGATACACCGATAGCTGAAGAAGCCCTTCACAAATTACGTCATGTTTTGAATGGACTCGATATCATATTAAATATTTATCGGCTCGAAATTTACCCTATGAAAAATTTTATTTTGCTTGGTTCAAAAGTTGAGAACCACTGGCCTGGCCATACCGAATCATCATTCTGGATTTCTGCTTCACCGGTCGTCTCATCAATTTCGTGATATGTTTTCCTCCCCAACGACAAATGCTACCGTGTCCTCGGCGCTTCTTGCAATTAGATCGAACAAGATACGTCTTTCAAATTTTCTTCTGTGCTGCTAATAGATGTTAACCACTAATCCCAGGTACCAGAGGCAGCAAAAAGTAGAGTTACGACCTCTAGAGGAAGATTATTGGACGACTTCTTATCACAAAGTTACAATAATCCAAAGATTAATTTTTTTTAATCTAGAGATCTTAATTCCCAAAAAGAAAAAAAAAATAGATAAAATCTGCTTTCATTAATTTCTGAGAAAACTGCTTGTAACGCTTTATTTGACTGCCATCAAGAGGAAATAATCCACGTTGCGCTCGTTATTCCTCTGATAGGCTATCAACATGATACGTTGCGTCAACAAGTAACGAAGAATTCTTTCTTCTTTATTAACTCGAGCATTGTCTTCTAAAAGAACTTGCAACGATCTTCTTGTTCCTTATTAATTATATGCTGATAAAAAGCGTCGACTATTGAACAAAATTCAAGTAAATATATTAATTTGTGCTATCGTCATATATGTGAGGTGTCTCGATAAAAATATTACACGAACAGTGGATTATTTACCCTCCTCCCTTTCAAGAACAACTAAATTATGTGATTTGTAACACCGCACTAATTTACGTAGTACGCGTACCATAAGTTGAGAGTCGCGATAGTTTTGTTCGTTTCTTGTACCGATCGATAGAAATAACGAGCTATTCCGTACTTATTTCAGACGCCGATGCTGGTATGCGCGAATGGGCCGTTCCGATCGTTCTTAGAAGATCGTGTACCACTTGTCAGGAACAAATTTTGGCCGACGTTATGGTGCTTCGAATCAAGAGCACAAACTATTATAGCGAGTCTTCTCAGATCGCGAATCATGCCACCAATTCACTATCGCAGGTTGGTAAGTTTACCTTTAACCTCACAGTTACGAAAAAAAGATATAAAGAAAAATACACGCAAAGTTATTTATGGAGAAGGTGTTAAACGAAAAGATATCGTACGTTTTTTCAAGATCAGTTCCTCGTGTCGTTATAAGTCAAAAGGTTCCCTTCTATTTTGCAATCTGAGGTTTCGTTATCGAGATGTAAGCAATCCAAGTATTTCCGTGTGTGAATATCATGCACGTTCATGTCTCTTTCTCGTGTGTAAGCGTAACCAGCTGATTGGAATATAATTGGCACATAAAGATTGAAGTCGTATCAGTAAACTTTAATTGCTGACGTTTCGGTAACGAAGCTTCAGATTACAAAATGGTGAACGGCATTTCGGTTTATCTTCTAATAGCGTTTCCATTAACACCAAATAAGGAAAGTAGTGCATATAAATATACGTCCGATGTGACATTGTTACCTTCGGTTCAAGTGCAGATCATGCATGTTTGCCATTTCGGTATTTGCATAACCTGTCATTACCGATTCAGACGCGAATTATCGAAGATACGTATTAAAAACTTTCCAAACGTATGTTTTCATTATGAAGATGCATTGGATCGATTCAAGCGCATTAGAAAATAGTGTTTACATAACAGACGGCAAGGTCGTGCACGAGGCAAAAAATATTACTTTCAAACAGTTTACGATAGACTACACTTTACCATAAAAGTTACTAGGATACAAAGACGAATGTAACTAGAAAAAAAGTTCTATCGTATATATGTTTAACCTTGATTATGAACCTTTTATCTTATTTTCGTATGCTAAATTCGTTTCTGAAGCCCACAAGCCGTGGAATCCAAGTCATTTGGAATCTCCCAAAAAGTTTATGACTCACAACCTGGACCGGCGAATTACTTATGACTCAGCCCGGTATAATATTATTGCTTCTTACGTCACACAATTTTCTAAACTAAAATTAATGGCCACTTGCATAAAAGTAAATGATTGCAAGCTATTTACCGCGGCCACGTGAGTTTCTTGTTCTAATTAATTAATTGTTGCACAGAGAAATCCTAACCTTGTCGGACGGAGGTGAAGTGGCACTGGATTGGGCAGAAGAGGGAAGCTCCGCTACTTCGCCCATAGTGATTATTTTGCCAGGACTTACCGGTGCAAGCCAAGCGGAATACATCAAGTGTCTTGTCTCGTCTGCAAAAAAAGTCGGCATACGATGCGTAATCTTCAACAACAGAGGATTAGGAGGCGTGGAACTGAAGGTACGACGAAACCATTTTTCTTTTGCCTTGTGCGGCTTACGAACTGTAACAATAAAATAAAAAACTCCTATAACATCCTATAATCAAACATTCTATCCATAAAGCTATTTGCATGCGTGATCCCCGATTTATTTTGAGCAGTGTGTTACTAAAAGAAACTGTAACTGGTGATCACGTGATTGCAGACTCCACGAATGTATTGCGCGGCAAACAGCGACGATTTGTCCGAGGTTATCGAACACGTAAAAAAACTAAATCCTCAAGTACCGCTTGGAGCGACGGGAATCTCGATGGGAGGGTACGAATGCCATCTTATACGCATAAATTATTTATTATGCCGAATCGAAATCAATTGGCCGCTCAAGGACTCCGTGGAATTTTCCCACCTTTACGCGTTTGGCCACACCCCCCACTACTTCGTGTTTCGTGTCGACGCAAACTTAACCTGTAGCTGTTTGGCGCGCATTCTTTATCCCGCGAACAGAGTGGCAATCTGAGAAATCGTAAAACTAAAAATCACCACGCCCGAGGTGATTCGTCACCAGAGAACTGGCGTCCTGAGTGGTCAATTAATTTCGATCTGGTCAGAGCCAATCACGGAGCAAGATATAACGTGACAATGTTTCTTATCGGGCGTCTATTTACAGATTAATTCTAGGTAATTATTTAGCTCAACAAGGAGTAATGGCGAGCGGTAAACTGAGGGGATGCTTTCTAATCTCTGTACCGTGGAATGTTTTCGCCGCGACGAAAAATACGGAAGAGAATTATTTTAATTTAATGATAAATAAATATTTGGCTGGAACGCTTCGCAAGAACATAGAGCGTTTACATTCCGCGACGGATGCAGGCTTCTTTGATGTCGATATTGACACGCTTCTTAAAGTAAGCTTAACAAATTCAGTCCGTTCGTGTAAAAACTCTACAGGCATTATCCTATTAACTGGAATAACACCTTCCCTTATTTGTTAGAGTCAAACCGTGCGAGAGTTTGATTCGCATTTTACGGTGAAACAGTTTGGCTACAGAGACGTGGAGGAATACTATTCTAATGCTACCATACATGATAAATTACATTTGATTGATGTACCGTTATTATGCCTTAGCGCTGCTGATGACCCATTTCAACCAGTTCAAGGTAATTCGCTTTGCCACATTTTAGTATTTTACTGTCCAAGGCAATAGTTTTATGAAATTAATATCCTCTTTTTTTAAATAATCAGCTATTCCTTTGAAAGAAATATCGGAAACCAAGAAGGTAGCTGTCGTAGTAACATCACGCGGCGGCCATATTGGTTTCTTGGAGGGCATGTGGCCGGTCAAAGAGGAACAATATATAGGTAAACTGTTTTCACAATTTTTCAACGCGCTGTTTACTACCGATGTAGATCAGCAAATGTTGTGACGAACTTACAACTTAAATTTCAAGTCCATCTGTTGATATCAATTGTCTTGTCTGCGTTTGACCATTATGCGAGAACGATCACGTGCCATGATTTAGTCATATTCAGGGTACTGCACATGTGATGTTAGTAGTGATAAGAATTACAGAACTTTCATCGCTTTTATAAAAACATTTTTACCGACGGCTTATAAAGTATTAGTTAATAATCATATAGGTATAATTTTTTACAAAAGTATAAGCCGTTTAGGAACAAAATATACGTGTTCACTTACGCGTATATAATAGTGATGTTATATTTATTTTTAATACGAAGTGTTTATTACAAAACTTTTATAACTAATGTTTATTCGAATTGAAATAAACAAAATCGTAGTTTAAAACAATTATGAAAATCTATGCTTATGCACTGTGTTTGTGCGAGCTTTGCTTCATTGAGATACTATAAAAATTTATTGAAAGTGTAATATCATGATACGACTAAACGAATGTTTTATATTTATTTATATGTAAAATCACGATAAGCAGGTTTCTCATTTAAAGGAATAATAGAATCACCACAGTACATATGTCTAAATGCAACAAATTTACCAGTTTCATTATGTTTCAACAATTTTAATGTTGAATTAGATAATATAAAACACAAAATAGAATAGAAAGCCATTCGTAAGATCCAAATATCATTGAATGTGATACAGAAAGTAAAAAATTTAGATTCTACTACATTTTATATGTAATTTTTCCTTATAACATTATTAAGAAAAAAATGTTGACAAGGCGAATTTATTGATACCCGCATCGCATTATATCATATTTTTTATTTCTTTAATATTAGAAATATGTAAGACACCAAATACCAATGTCATACTTTAATAATGAAATGTATACTTAGTATTTAATAAAAATGTTATTTAGTATTTAATAAAAAAATTCATACATCGATTTTATTTGTTATTGAGTTCAATATTATTATTTATTCTAGCAAATCTAAAAAACAGTTATATAAGTTGGGTAAAGTACGAACACTAGTAAATTGCACAATATATTGTTATTTGTTGCGATAAAATTTTTCGTTTTATAAAATAATTTACGGACAAACATTTTTTAGAATATTTCAAGACAGTGTTTTGCAGAATGTTTTTAAATGCATTGAATGTATTGAATTATGTAAAAAATGTAAATAATATTAATATTCTCTTTATGTGTTACCATACGAATTCTAAGTTCAAAGATTTCACGATAAATGCTAAAATGTCAGTACTTTCGGCAATCTGAAATAATAAGAATTTTATAGTAAAAGGTATTAATAATAAAAAAAAAAAGATAACGGTTGTATATTTATGTAATGATTAAAAACTAACCACTTTCATAGTAGGTTTCCCACCTCCATGCCCGGACTTGGTATCTATTTTGATAAGTAAAGGATTTGTTTGTTGTGGTAATTTTCCAAGTGTACACTGCAGAGTTGCAATGAGTTTAAGACTATGCAATGGAACTACACGATCATCGTGATCTGCAGTCAATAATAACGTAGCTGGGTATTGTCCTTTCTCCGGGACCCGTACATTATGCAATGGGGAATATTTCAAAAGATTTTCAAAATGTTTCGGGTCGTCGGAGCTACCGTAATCGGATACCCATGCAGCGCCAATCGTGAACTTATGAAAACGCAACATATCCATCACTCTGCACGGCATATTTATATATAAAATTAAAGCTTTATAAAATATTACTAATCCGTTGTACCAACTTACCCGACTTGAGCAACCGCAGCGCCAAAAAGATCAGGTCTTTGATTTATACATGCAGCGATCAACAGACCTCCGTTACTGCCACCTAAGATGCTTAATTTTGAAGATGTGGTATAACGATTATCAATGAGATACTCGGCAGCACCTTGGAAATCATCAAATACATTCTGTTTGTTAAAAAATCGTCCACCGTTATGCCACTTTTCGCCGTATTCGCTAAAATAAATTATCACATTCTGTGTAGTAAATAGTATTATACAATGAGTTAAAAGAGTCTTCGTTTCGTCATTGTAGTGACCAACTATTTCTCTCTAAAACGTCTCCCTGTTTCATAGTATGCGGAGTTGTTTGGTCACATTGTGTAAGAATCGAATCCTTCAGTTTTATCGCTGTGCACTTCAGATCGCTACTTCACTTACAAATATATGACTATGATTCAGTTTTTATGCGCAACTATATGTACTAACACTACTCACGTCATACAAAGTTTTAGATTACACCTTCTGATTGGATTTATTCAAAGTCACGTCACTTGTACGTCCGATTAAAAAATAAAATTATTTTTCACGCTAAACAGTACTGTGGTTTTAATCGTTCTTAAAATAACGCGCTTGCGATACGACTTTAATTAATAATTTTTATAAACGATTTGTGCGCTTTCAATTTTCAAAAGATGCGAACTCATTCTATTTATCTACAATATACAACATTGCAGAAATGAATTTCTTTACCGACTGTAGAATTTTCCCGAGAAATTGTTTTTTATTTCTTCATTTTATATTCGTTCTAGCTGCCCCTAAGGCACGGATCGAAAGATCAACTTTAATGACGTGTCTATCGACATTACCTAAACGAAATGTCAAAATTATATAATTTTTGTAACTTCGCGAGCTAATTGTAAACACATTTCTGATCTTTGTTTATTAACGTTCATCGGTCGTAAATTTTTCCCTGACGTGTCATTTAACCTTTGTGTGTTTACACTATTCTCAGAAATTGTATATCGTATGGAAACTTTCTTTAACCATAATTCTGCTAACTTTATCTTTAGCTTGCACTTAATACGTTACTAATTGAAAAATTTTAACTAACTTTCATTTAAGTTACTATTATTTTTCAAAATCTTTAAAATTGAAGAAAATCGAGACATTAGAAATGAAGCGTTCGGAGATTCTTTTGACCCACTGTATATTTAGTAACATTGTTTTCTTAGCTTACCCGCCACCACGAATATTTGCGACCGCCAGTACTCCATTTAAGTGCTGGACAAAAACTAGCTTTGTTACGCTAAACGTAGGTTGAATGCTTACATTGAAACCTCCATAACCACACAGTAAAGCTGGCATAGGGCTATGAACAACTGCATCCTAAATTAAATGTTCATTATTATCATACTTTGCTTTGTGCAAGCATAACAATAGTACTGTGAGTACCTACGTGCTTCATTATTATAAACATCGGAATCTTTGTACCATCTTTGCTTGTATAAAACTTTTGATCGATCTTGTACATACTTGGATCAAAGTGCTTCACTTTAATCTCTCGCAATACCTGTACACATACATAATCGTCTGATGTTCAAATTGTTGTTATTTCAAATATTTTCGTGAATTATATATCACTAACCTGCGGTTCTTCATCATTTTTAAGGTCAACTCGGTATATAATACCAGGAATTAAAACGGACGTGAACTGATAAAATATTTCGGAGTATTTTTTCTTCCCTGCTAAGCTAACTATCGTGCCTATATCCAATGGGAATGTTCTGATTATTTCGCCAGTTTTTAAACTATGTAATTGTAAAATGTTCTAGAATAAGAGAATTTGTAATGTTATTTATATAAATAATATTCCCACTCTTTTATTAAATCATTGTATCATCTATGTTCACCTTAACATCCTCGATGTAGCAAGCTACAAATTGATCATTATTAACTGCACAAGCCCAATCTAATACATTATTAGCGTGTTCTGGTAACAAATCGACCCACTGCTCTTCATTATAATCCAATAAATCTATAACTATTAATTTATAATTTGGAGCATTTTTGTTTGTCCGAAATATAGCCTTGGCGCCTTCATTCGTTACATACTGTACAGAATGAGTAGTTCAAGATAGTGAAAAGGTTAAAACTAAAGAAATAAATATGTATACTGCATATGACTAACTTCATAATCTGCTTCAAGTTTATGAACAACTTGCGTTAATTGTAATTTATCATTTAATTTTGCTCCTGGTTTCAATTCCGTAAAGTATACTAAATTATCTCTGCAATCCTTCACAGGCGTGATAATTAGCCATTTTCCACAATCAGAAACCTGTGCACCTCTAGTAATATGGGGAACACATACAACATAAAACCGAAAATTTTTACGAATGAATTACATTAAATTCGTATTGTTTATACGAAATAGTATTGCATTATCAGTAAATTTTATTAAAACATATCCTTAATTGTGCTACTCACATTCTCCACAATGGTTCTTCGGGAAATTCAACTACTACAACATCCTCTGATTGCTGTGTACCCACAATATGATAGCACAACTTTTGGTCTCTATTACCTTTTGTTTCAGAACCATCAACTTTGCCTTCCTGCTCAGGATAACATCCATAAAATATACCGCGATTATCATGAGTCCATGTTATAGGGGAATACTTGACTTTTTCCAGTATTTCTGGGTATTTTTCACCTGTATATAAATATTGTTTATAGAATGGCATAATAAATATTTCAATGTAAACATTTGCCCATAAGTAAACTATGTTGGTCTTACCAGTTTTTGTATTAATAAAATGAATCGTACACCAATCAGATCCGCTACTAGATAATCCATAAGCAAATATACTACCATCTTCGTTAAATTTGCTACTACTAATTGCCACAGTGCCATCTTCCGATAAAGTATTTGGGTCTAAAAACACCTTTGGTTCGCTGTGCAATGTATCTTGTACGTATAGAACACTAGAAGAATTAATATCCATGTATTATAGTAAGGTGATTGAATTAATGTTTTACACACGTTACCTTTGATTTTGTAAACCAGTATTCTTATAGAAATAATAATAATCCCCGTGTTTAGCTGGGCATGAATATTTTGGAAAATCCCACATTACTTTTAATCTATCACGAATGTCTTCGCGTGCCTTGCACGATGCTAAATATGGTTCAGTAATAGCATTTTGAGCATCAACGAATGCCTTGGTTTCTTCGGAATCAGGATCTTCCAGCCACCTATATGGGTCTGGCACCTAATAATAAGAATCATAAAATATGGTACTTCACACAGTCTATACATTATTTTCATACCTCGAACTAAATACAACTATGTATATTTAAATAACAATTAATAATGTATTATTTCACATCGATGAATAGTTTCAGAGAAATTCATAATTAATATTTATATACGCAAGTTTAAATATGGAGTTTATTAAAAAATGGTTATATATAGTTTTTCTTATTTTAACCTCGGTTCCATGATAATTATCGACAACGGCGTGATCACGATATGCTTCGGGATACTGCAAGATTTCCATTATTTTGCGGTTCGTTCTATGTATATTCCTTCGGTGAACGATTTGATTCCTAAACGTTTCACAGAAGAGTGTAATTGGATTTATCACGGTAATATCAATAAACAATTATGTTGAAAAAAATCTCACTTTGACGGACGAAAAAGACAATGGGTGAATAAATAGCGGGTGGTTACAAGTAATGAGTTCCAGTATACTATTTTCGATTTCATACAAACGAATTTCCTTTATCGTATTTGTAATTATCGGCACAGTTTATACAGTTGGTCTACTTTCCCAATTTTTCTGTTGCCGAGGTTTTATGCGAATTCACCAACAATGCAACCAAGAACATGGCGGAATCCTATACTCGTATAATGATTTAATGTATTCATGTAAGAATAATAGAATTACCACGAGGATTACGGAATCTAACCACGACTCTAATGTGGAATTCAATTTTATATACAATTAACTTATCTGGTATATTAAACTCGAGTTTTTTAGTCATGCTTCTAATATTTCAATTGTAAATAACGATGCCACTAATTACTATTTAATAATAAAATTAATGCCTCGTATCGATCGTTTTATAGTCAGTGCTATTTAGATATAATACGTCTATTTGTTTATTTGTACGAGAAAAATTTAACGAAAAAAGTAATTTAAATGCAACTATAGTTATAATTACAGTACGCATAAAATATTTTTAGAATTCAATTTATGTAAAAATTTAACATGTTTTTCGGTTTTAATCTTTTATCTCGGCCGTTATAAAATCGTCGTAGAATTTTTGTACGTATGTATGTCTATAGATATGTTTAAATATGTAAATGAGAATTATCACCTTATAATCGAGGTTGACTTAAATGACTGCAATTAAAGACAATTTGTGCAGCATAAGATAAAAGTCGTACGATTAACTAATGTAGAAAAGTGTTCTACGAAACGCAAAATAAACTGATTAGTTATATAAACGATACAAATCGGTATAGTTCGGAAATCATTTATCGTAATTGTAAGCATAAATTCAATAATAATGTTAGTACACTATACGGAAGGGTACAAGATATATTCTTATCAATTGGCCTTAATTACCCCTTCCTATAATAGAAGATAATAACTGACACGTAAACGTGACTTTTCACGAGAATGACTGAAAAACTAGAAATACAGTGTCGTATATGATATTAATATGTTTCAAAAAAGACAACGACAACAGGCGTGTACTAATTTTATTAAATTTCATAAAATTTAACAAATTACATTATTATCACGCTTAAATTTGTCCTATTTACGATTATAGAACAAACCTATCTATACTAGAAAATTTTAATATATACTTCAAATTTTGTTATAAAAGAAAAAAAATAAATAAAAATTCGATTATCATTTTATTGAAAACGAATTGGTCAATATGTTCATCGAGTAATACTTAATATGTAAAATTTATGTATTGAGCTATTTTATAAAAAATATCTATATTATCATCCATGTACGAGCGTATGAAAAACTCATTCGGGATTGTTAAACAGTGTCAAAGAACTGCAAGTTCGAGCGGGATCCTGATACGTCTTAGGCCGAATGGTTCCGAACAATTCCGAAGTAGTTCGATAGCCCGAGATTTATCGAGTTCTGTCCGAACTCGACAATTTTAATGCAGTTTGATAGGTCGATTCGAATAACTGCACGCTTCTAGTATCAATGTTTTTTTGGGTATAAATGTTCCTTAACAGGACGAGTGTAAATACTTTCGCGAGGGCACTGTTGTTACTATTTACGACCCTGAAGTTAACGCTGCTGGAGGGTGGACTGATCATGCAGAATATGCAGAGTGCGTGGTGTTGATATCGACAGTCGGGTCAACTGTACTTTGTGCTGCGAACTTAGATAACCTCTTGCGTGTGTTCAATGTTTCCCCCCTATTTTCTCTGACCACACGGAGTTCATATAACATCAAAATCTAACGCTTAAGTATTCATTACGAATCCGCGAGTGCGTCGATCAATTTTGGTGCACGTTCATAACCATATACTATACACCTTCAAGTGATTCAACCGTACAAGAGAAAGCTACGTGTGTCGGGAAGCATAATCCGCGATTCGATAGGAAGAGGTCGTTGTAACTTACTTATATAAGTGGTCGCGGGTAGTTTGAATGTTTCTTTTCAAACTGTCAGCACACGGAGGAATGCAAAAGGACTGCCGAGACTGTTTAGGTATTCGATACCGTATCAACTCCCTGGACCAAACGTGGAAGTGGTTGCATCAAACGATTGCCCTTCACGATTATCTGATTTCCATAACCGCTAGTCAATCCGACGTTTTGAGAAAATCTTGCCAGTAGGGCTGCTATCTACAGAGAAAAATACTAACCGAAATCAAGGCTGATTTCGCCACGTTAGAACTAGCGAGAAAACCGCACACAATCCATTAGTTGAAGACTGATTTCACAAGCCAGCACCACATCGTTTCCAGGGAGTACGGTTTTCATATCGGTACCAATAAATATTTATTGTTTGATTCATTTGTCGTAAGAAAAAGAGAAACCCAAGTTACATATACATCACGACAAAAATGTCTCTCACCAACAGATTTATGATCGTCATTAAACGGGGAGCTCAATACAGAAATTTGCATCAAGTGTCTAGATACTCGACGAGCTTCAACGAGAAGCAAGACGATCCTAATGATTCGATAAAGAAATCAGTATTCATATCACAATCCACAGATGTGTTCACAAATTTAGCACTAGAAGATTGGTTCTATAGGAACCACAATTTCACAAATCATCATTTGTTACTTCTGTGGCGTAACGATCCTTGTGTAGTGATCGGGCGTCATCAAAACCCATGGATCGAGCACAATGCCCAAGTAGCTGAAAAACGTGGTATAGCGTTAGCTCGCCGGAACAGTGGCGGCGGCACTGTCTATCATGACACTGGTAATTTGAATCTGTCGTTCTTCACGCCGCGGGAACGATACGATCGAAAATACAATCTGGGCATTATAACGAGAGCTCTGTATCGAGAATGGGGCGTAAAAGCTGACGTTAATAAACGGGAAGACATCGTCGTGCACGGCGAATATAAAGTATCCTGTAATGTAACGTATAAAAAGCACATATGTTCCCTAATTACTTGTTCCAAGATTGTGTATTAAACGAATGAGCAATTACATTATAAATGTAACGAAATGATAAACGAAAATTCAATGACATTTATTATTCTTATCTTTGCGATATAAATATAACTGGCTTCATAAGGCGATATGTATACTATATGGTCTTTGATAATGAGAATTATTTGTATATATATATATACGCGTATATTGGTATGAAATGTCGAGTATTAATACATTCTATAAATACTAAACATTTATATAGCGATATACGTTGTCAAAAAATTCCTATCAGTTTAAATAAAAAGAAAAGAAAGAAAGATACCATTATTAAAGAAAATATTTTCGAACATAAAAAAATTTTTATTCCTTATGTGCAATTTACAAATTGATATGCAATTGTGTAAATATTGAGAAACAGTTGGAACAATTTTAATAGCGGCGCTACGCGCGTCTCGAAATCGCGATCTGTATTTCCTTAACTCTATTAAAATTTAGGTATCTGGTACTGCAGCAAAATTAGGACGGCCGAATGCATATCATCACTGTACGCTATTGGTTGATGTAAATAAATCGGCTTTGAGCTTGGCCCTCGAAAGAAAAGAGGTAAATATTTTTCGTACAATTATCATATATAATTTACTGTACAAAGTCTACTAAATAGTTGAGCAGAGATATTAAATAATAAGAGATATAAATAAACACAAAACCACTATACTTTTTTTGTTATTTCAAGATTATTTTAAAGTTTACTTTTTTTTTTTCGTTTTTTATTTATATATGTGGTAATTTATTTAACACATTCGATTGTTCTATATCTCTTGTCATTTAACTACTTTGTGTGATACTTATGAGTATGTAAAAATGGATTTATTGTTTTACAGAACGGTATAGAAACGAATGCCACTGTCTCCACACGGTCTCCAATAAAAAATTTAGTAGATATAAATGCACACATACGCATGGACAAGCTTATTAATGCGGTAGGTTGGGAATATCTTCGCACAAAAGCGCTAGTTTTAGAAGATGGTGGGCAAGATCTTATTCAACGTCAAAAAGGATTTCAATATGTTAATCCCACAGAGGAATGGTTCCCAGGTATTTAACATTATATGTATATATCTATCTGATACGATAGGCAGGTTTAATTACTTTTAACTTTGATTTTTACTTATGGAAAAAGTAATAAAGTGTGAGTACATAAAGTTACAAAATATTTTTTTCTGTAAATGATTAAATCTATGTGCAGTTGAATAACACAAGTATGTTTGCAGGGCTCGATAACTTAATAAATGAGTTTCGTTCCTGGGAATGGAATTACGGTAAGACGCCGAAATTTACGGTAACTCGTGTACTAGACGTCCTTGTCCAAGATAGCAAAGTACATCGATTTAATCTAACGTTAGAGATACAAAATGGTATCATTGAAGAAATCAAAATGAGACTTCCAGCTGGTTTGGTATCAAATGATTTTAGCGAAGACGCGAGCGTGATAAGTAATCTACGCGGCACGAGATACAACCACGAAGTAACGGAAAATATAATAGCCACCATCGGTTGCAAGACTGTTATGTTAAGTACAACCCAAAATATAGATAAAACTAATATGATTGCTACGCAATGATCAGACCCTACGGACAATCGCAACGATTGTACATAAATTGCTTGTTGTGTTCAAACCGGAACGAAGTTACTATATATCAAATCCTAAGAATAATATGGACTTGTATTATATATAGTTTTGTTAACTGACCCGCTGTTACTTATTGTTATGTATGTATGTAATATATTGTAATATAAATTGCAAGTAATATATCCTAGACTGTGTATCATATTTTTATACTACTAACGTGTACGTGTGATTCGTAAATTGTTTGTGTTTAATAAATACAGTTTGTCAATGTATTAATTAACGACTGTTTGTAAATAATTTGTTTATTGAATTTATTTTTTATTCTGTTTTCAAAATTGTTGTTGGTTCAATTGGCGTTCAGTGGTCGATTACCCGGCGATTAATATACGGCCAATAACAATCGCGTGCATGTATCATTATTTAATAAGGTCGCATGAAGAGTGTACATTGCATAAAGCTTTGAAATTTGAATACTCAATAAATTATATAGTGCGTTACGTATACGCACTTTGTCCCAGTTACGCCACAATAATAAATTACCTTTTGAAGTTACGTATACCTTTCTCTGTATCCGGTATTATTGTTATTTAAATTGGAATGTCTCGACAGGTAACGATAAAGTCTCGGTCGTAACACAACTTCCCGATAGGATGGTGGAGGAGTGCCTGGACAAGATGATGCCAGGCTTGTGGTACTCTCTACATTATCTTGTAAATATGGATTCAACAATAAAGAGAGCCTTTGGGATGCGTCATTGTGGTTTCGACGCCAATGCCTACTACATATATATTTTCCAGACAAACAAATGTAAGAAACCACCATACCACACGCGGTACCAAATATGAAACCGAGAAGAAGAAACCAAAACAAATCGATATTGTTTATTTGGCACGACGTTTGCTTGTACGTTGCATTTTTATTGTTTAACGAGTTCGAGTAGTTAGCGTTGGTTACCAATTTAGTTCCCTGATCAGTCGTATTCTTAATTGTCCAGCGATGGTAATTTTCTTGTCTTTTTGTAGGTAGAAGAATCATCTTCTCAAATTTCTTTGGGTTTGTATTCTTGGCGCAAACGTCACTGAATTCTACATCTTTGTGTTTGAGGTATATTTGCAGATCGTGCATAACGTTGTTGCAGGACCAAGGATTTCTGGAAAAGAAAAAGCATGTTTGGATTTTGGTTATGTATCGACGATCTCTTGTGTATCTGCATATGGTAAAATGCTTGAATAGCAAGTTTACACTATCTTTCTATAAATTTTACCGTTGATCTTAGATTGAACGATATTAACGATAAATTAGTTATGAAAATTGAAATTTGGTTTTCACTTGAATAAATTAACTGGTTCGTTCGTCGTACCCTTCTATAGATAATTTCTTCAAAAAATGCAATCTCTGCACGACAGCGCTATTCATCTGAATCATCAAATTGTTCGAAAGATCAAGGCGTTCGATATGCGTGAGTCCGTCGAACGTGTCCGGAGGTAAATGACTAATCTGACACGAATCCAAACTTAGGTCCTACGGAGAAATTTATTTTATATCGTTAAAAGCGAATTAAACTTTTATATAAAAAAAATAATTCAAACATGATCTGTTACTATTCGATGGTAACCATCTTTTTTATTCTAAACGTAGTAACTTTAACAAACAATAAATACGAATTGTTATTTCCGCCATTACCGTCAACCAAGGTGATCGCAATTTTGGAAGATTCGAATTAAAGTTATTTCTCGATAACTTTAAAATTCGTAAATTTTTGTTCTGCGTAAAGACGTCACTCAGAATGTAATAAAGGTGATTTTTGGACAAATCCAGGACTGCTAAATCGGCAAGGTTATCGAAAGCATTCAAACCGATTTCATTGATTGTATTCCCGGAAAGATTGAGATACTTCAGATTTGTCAATCCTGCATTCTGAAACGACATATACTTTACAGATGTATTCTCAATAATTATTTAATTATTATTAATTTAGTGTAAAAATTATAATCAATTGTGTTTCCTCTTTAACGAAATATACTTACAGCTAGCTCAAAATTATTTAAAAATGATATCACATTATCCGATAAGTCCAAAGCTTGCACGTTGTTCGGTGCACCTGTATCTATGTTGTAAAGATGGCGACCTGAGCAAGATACACGGTGCAACATATACCAAGTGTCGCATGTACAAAACGAAGGACACGTCTCCGAAGATTGAACCGAAACTACGTTTCCGACAATGTTCGAAAGAAGCGAAAGAAACAAACCAACGGCAATGCCGTCGGTCATGGTAAGAAATCGTTAAACGAACTTCGCGAAAATAGGTTATACCGACACTTCAACTAACAATTAACCGTACCAACTTGCGATAGGGCTTGTTGCGTTTTCATGTGGCTTACGATTGCCTTGCTAACGTAATCTTATCTTACAACACGCCTATGTGTATATCGCGTAGATGTGTTAACGATCGAAATACGTCATCGTGGAGAGTCTGAATCAGGGATGAACGCATTCGCGTGATTTTTCAATAAATCGAGATAAATGCGAAATACTGGAAACATGAAATAAAATACATTTGTTTACGTGTGTACTTAACAAAGCCTCGGGAGTTTCAAAGCAAACACACAAATGAAAATACAGTTAGGAATTATTAGGACATTATTTGTCAAACGTTTCGTACCAATTCTTTGAAACTAGTCGCCACGCTTTGTGGGCAGGAACAATGGAGTATCATAAATAGGGGGTAATTCTTTGAAAAGTAACCACACCGCAAACCTAACCTGATCACCGTGATGAATTTAGTCATAAGAACCGGTGACGATCGACAATAGGTATTAGGATCGAATACTCTTGCGATATAAATAGTATTTAATCGAAATATTGTTTATTTAATTTAATAACATTTTAAAACAGTATACACACAACAATAGAATTTGGTAACGTATTCAAACCAGATTATCGTAATGTTAAAATTTTCACTGCTTTTATACTTCCTTTATTCCATAGTAACATTGCAGTCTTTGTCATTTCAGTGAAAATATAAACAAAACAAATAAAAAAATAGTAGATTAGGAACGCGTTCACTAAGAAGGGTTTTTTTTTAAAAAAGTTAATGATGCATGATTTTGGATGTTGACGGGTAACAGTTTATGAAATATTTAGTCTCTCGGGTATTTATTTCGTCAAGTGTACATATACAACTGAACTTGAGAACAGTGAGATCGAAGAAGTTTGTCTACTACAGCTGTGCAATTTTGGCACAAGTTCAAGGCCCCCTGAGAGTCACCGAGATATAATTTTTTTCGTTAATCACGGTTATTTTTATTCTACGAGTATTTAGAAAAAGAATCAAACATAAAGTTCAAACGTAAATAATACTCCTACAAAAAAAAAAACGAGTACATTTCTGTTGTATTGTTAGGATATAGACACTTATATTTTAATTGGATTCCGTTTTCTTCAACAATTGTTACATTTTGTTATAAAGAAATACAAGATTCGAATCAATGTTCACTTCTCAATTTGCAATAATCCGTGAAATAGAGTGATCACTTAACACGACCGAATATTTTTACGATCGACTGTACGTATCATCAGGTCGGCATCCGATGCCCTATTACCGTGTAAATTCCCATTAAAAGTTTAGCTTCGCTCCTGTACGCTTTTCCCTGTAAGTCGTCGTTTAATCGACAGCAGGTGTAACGTTACATCGCACACGGAGAACATAATCACGGCTCTTTGATCGACGAAAAGTAATGGTGACCGGTGACAATTAAATGTTACTCACTAGCCCTTGGCATCTCTTCGAAGTTAAGCGAGGGGTAGCATTCGGTGAGCTAACTGCACAGAGTGTTTATTGCGCAACATCCACGGAAATAAATCTAGGATAGGCTGCTGAGAACGCGTGGACCGTTGCCTTCTATTCGGCCTTACCGTCCCTCCCCGCTGCCCCTTCGCATCTTCCGGCCATTTTCATTGCTCGTCCTCCACGCCGCCATGACAAGCATACGGTATGGCACTGCAACTGCCTCACCTTCGCTCGACGACGCCGCATCGGATCGATTTGTCGTTGGCAATAGTGGTCTCGAGAGGTGCCGGCTTTTCGTTGACGTACTGATGACTCCCGTGCTCTTCGAGAATCATCGCTCAGAATGATCGCGGCCGTGCACCAGTTTCCGAAAGTACGATACTACGCATCGGCTAAGAAAGTGAATCTTCGCTGTCGAAGACTATCCACTCCCGTGTTTCGTCACTGGCGCCCTCAGCTGACGCGTAGCGTTGATTCGACGTTGTTACAATTAAATATTAAATTGATCGCGACACTGCATTCCAAAGATAACGAATGCACGATCCGAACAGCACGACACCGGCTCGCGAACGAATATTATTTATCGTGACTTCGAACGACTGTTTGTAATCTCCGTTACGTTTATTTTACAAACGGTACGCGTTTGTTTTTTAAATAAATGAAACGTATACATTCCTCGCGGTATAGTGACAAGCCTTGGAAATAGCTTCGAAGGTGAGGTTCTTCGCAACGCATTCTTCGAAGCTCGAGCGTCTCGCGAAGATATTTCACTCGTCGTGTGTCGTCACCGACCTTCTCAGCTGATGTAAAATGGCCGCCTTCTACTGACAGCTGAACAGCCAACGCGGATTCTCTCTGCTAAAACGCATTTTAATATCGCGAAACGTGCATCTCCTCTTTTTATACAGACGTTACTCCCTTCTAACGTTAAGGTCCCCAGAAAATTCAAGGTATTTCATTAAAAAGATGACACAGTATGGTATTGTAGCGGCAGTAGGAGTATCTCGCCGAGCGAGGTTTCTTTGACGAGAGTTTTGTACATGCGGTAGACCGATCACTCGCACGGATTTCGTCACAGGCGTTCTCAGCTGATGACAAAATGACCGCTTTGTGTATTTAACGCTACCAGCTGATTGCGAAAGTTTCGTTCGCGAAAACCGTATACAGTCGGCATTTTTAGTTGTTTTTCGACGCCGAATCGATGAAATGTAGCGAACGCGCATATAAATTCATATAGTATGTGTACAAGGCGGCGTACTTTGCGCACGGAGGAAAAGAGAGGGACGCCAGAAGGGACGCCGAGTACAGCCGTACGAAAAGTGGAGAGGGTTGAGAAAGTGGAGGGTCTCGTCGAGCGGAGCACTTTGGCTAGGGTTCTGGCCTGCGATTTTTTCCCGTTCTTCTCGTTGTCCGGGCGGACGGCCAATGAGAGTAAGTAGGTCAGCGCGCCCGTCCAATCGGTGCTCGAGGCCGGGTCACGTGGGTTTGTTGTTATCTATCAGCTGTTTTTCCCGGGCGGGCGAGCGGCCGGCCGGCGCAGTGAAAGCCGCTTGGTAGTCACTCCTCAGTCCCTCCCGGTCGCTCAGCTGTGCGTCACATGTCGGGTATCGCGAGTCCTACTCCTGCCCGTGAACCATCGTATCGTGTACCGCTTGTTCGTTCAGGCTACCGTAAAGCGCCGGATTTCTATTTACCGGCAAGCGTTAGACATATATTATGCTATCTACCGCGTGCACGTCAACATATTATCACGAATCGATCACGAAGTGCCTCGAACATGCGGACGGCGTGACAAATCCAGGCAACGGTGCACGCCGTTTTGTTGATACATTGAGTTCTGTGTTCAGGCCGCGAAGGCCACCGCGTCCTTCCACGGTCTAGAAATCAATTCTATCGATTTCATGCAAAACTGCCGATCTAGCCGGCGCATACGTGTTATTGTGGAACGATGACCTAAACCGACGGTGTCATTCGCGGGAAATTCCGGTGAAACGGTAAAAATTTCGTACGACGCAACGTGCATCGGCGTTCCTTGCTCTCGCAAGTGTATTTCCGAATGTTCGGTCGATTCGTAGGTACAATATCGATTGTGTCATTTGCATCGTTCGTCGCGAGTTTCGGACTGTTGGATCGCGCGTGCATTATCGTTTGTCGTACGGTGTGATCGAATCGATCGACTTATCGTTTACGATTCACGTTGACGCGGAGTGTCGTTTGTGGAAATAAGATAGAAAGCAGGCGTGAAGAAACAACTAGTGCAAATGAGCTTTACGAGAGACCATTCGACGCGAGACACTATCGAGAACGAAACACGCCACGGTGTCCCGTGAAAACAGTGCGGTCGAACGATATATCGATTTACCGGCGTGATCACCGAGAAGTCGTTTATTAGCAGATCCAACGAATAATGTCGACGGGCAAGAGGCTGGCAAAACGCAGCATAATCGGCACCAGAGTGTGTGCTCCCGGCGAGGACGGGAAGTATTATAGCGGCGTCATTCACGCTGTGAAAACGCCGGCGTCAACCGCCTCCGAGTCGGGTCTTAGCATTACACCGAAGACTCGCTATTCTGTGCGGTTCGATTCCGTGCCTGGTGGCCGTCCACCGAGTCCAAGCACCGAATACTCCGATCGCGACCTGATCGGGCCAGGTTTCGGTTCCGTTACTACCGCGCGGCTTGTGCCTGGCCAAAAAGTTTATCTGACGTACAACGGACGGGAAATTCACGCGGAGGTCACGCAGCATCGCGAGCATCTCGACGAGGTGGACGTGATTATCGCGCCAAACGGACAAGAGGTGAGTGACAGTTTTATTTTTTATAAGCAATAGAACACCAAATCGTTCCTATACAGGGTGTTCGGCCACTCCTGGGAAAAATTTTAATGGGAGATTCTAGAGGCCAATTTAGATTCAAATCGTAAGCTTTATGTGCAGCTTTAAAAATTCAGATTTCAAGGTTAAGTTATCAAGTTTTGTACGTTACTAAATGGTAGTGTTGATCGATATGTGGGTAATTTCGAGTAAAATTTTAATTCGTCGTATTTTCGTGTAATTTGTGTGATAATTGTTGAATTTCTGCGTATAAAGTGTTTTTTATGTGGTTTTGTGTGACATTTGTCGTATTTTTCTATAGACTGGCAAATACCATAGAAATCACAGAAAAATCACATTACATGCAAAAAATGCGTCCTCGTTCTCGTTATTCGAATAACAAACAAAATCTTATTCGTAACCGACGAATAAAAGTTTATCTGGATAAATTTGTTACTCGTCATCTAGATAAGAATGTGATAAACGTCAACTCATACTTTAACATATCTAGGAAAGAAATTGCCGGTCGTTTCAAGATTTGTAGGTTAAGGTCAGAGACGTTCGATATCAAAAAATTAAAAAAGAATGTTTGGTGGTTGTTCGTTTCTATCCAAATTTCTTCTCGTATCGAATTAAAAAAAAAAAAAACAAGGCAAGGAAGAAGGATTTGATTCTAATTAGTACGTTTACGTATTTACTCGGCGCAGCAAAGTTTCACTTTTATTTACACCAGCGCATTGGGATTCTCGAAATAGACACGGGAAAGTTATTTTTTCCCCGCGAATCGCGACGAGCATTTTGAAAGAAAAGGAACAAAGGTTTCGCGAGTGGAGCACGTTAAGCATAACGAGGTTTGATACGTCATTCGTACGCCCGCCGGGTTTCGTTGCATCCAAGCACGATAGCGTGCATCAAACACGGCTCGCGCGCATGCGCAGAAACTCTGTTCCTCTCTTGGTCGGCGTGAACGCCGGGCGACTGCTTTCCAGAGCGGGGAAACGCGTTTCTCGCGCGATAACACCACCCGGTTGCATCGATGACATGCTCGACGAATTGCAGCATGTTTACGTACGCCTTAGGCGACTTTTCGTCGGCGAAGTATCGAAGTAAGAAACGGGCGTTGATAGGCCGGCTAGATCGCCGGGCGTGTGCACGCACGCCGTTAATCAGAAAATTTAATTTTCGTGACCTCGTTCTTAAAGCAACCTATAGAGTGGATGTTCCATTTACGCGACGCGCATGAGCGAGACACGTTCCCTCTTCACGGACGGGATAGAGAAGGATAGGAAGGGGAAAAACTTGCAACGTTGCATCTGGACGCGGACAGAGGCACGCACAATCGGCAGGCAATCGAATCCGTTTCGCCGGCTATGATCTCGCGACCATCGAGAACGCTCGGGAGTAAAAAGAGCATGGCAGGGCGGCGGGGGACACGGGGAGGGGCATATTATCCGTAGCGGACGAACACAACAGGTTAACGAATGGGTTTACAGAAGGAAATACCCGTGCATCGCTCGTGTGCATCCGCCGCGGTGTTAGGCCTGTTTCAGGCGGGATTGCACGAACAACTGGAACGTAGTACGTTTCGCGGGGCAAAGTTTACGGTTAAAATCCGGGATTGCTTTCGCAGGAGCGTGTCAGAGACTCTGCGCTGGAATACAGTGTTCGTTACAGAGTTTTTTAGTAAACGCGCAGGGGGAGGGGGATATTTTCACCGCAAATCTGTATTGAAATCGCTACGAGACTGTAACAGTTCTTAGCTACGCCACTGTTCGGGCATAACGATGAACGCTGTCTCACGTGAGTAGGCTCGTGCGATCCCGTCTGAAACGAGCCACGGTGTCGCACAATACACGAGCGACCAGGCAGTCGATTTTCGACACGCCTTTCTCGAGTTACGAGACACGGATCGGAGCCGGTGCTCGCGAGCGGTCGGCTCTCTCGGGAGTCGCGAGCGTTCGCGAGATTCGTAGAAAAGCGTAGCGAGCGCAACGCAATAAATACCCCATAAAACGAGGAATAGCGCTATTACGATCGGTCAGGCGTGGCGGAGAAATATACGCAGCCTCGATACCGCTATGTGGGCGCGGTTAGATTCGTAATGAGAAGCACTGGCGGCGCGCTGTCCGTAAGCGAGGCTTTACGCGTGTATGCGGGAGATACTCTGTTTATGTACGAAGCGAGTACGGGTAGTACTTACTCGCCAGTGCACCGGCTACCGGTGACCCCACGTGGAACGCATTAGCGCAATATCTTTCTACCACCGTTAGGTAGCTCAGGCGTGACCACGGTTCCATTTCGTGGAAACTTTGCCGCGCGCTGCTCGCCCCGGTTCGCTCGCTCGGGGAAAAATGAACCGGATCTGGTCAAACCGAAGTGTCCGGTTCCGATATTTTTATGTTCAGCCAACGGATCCGTCCGTTCTGCTAGCGTTCGCCAGGAAATTAGAGTGTCGCTTAGAGTACACCTTAACTGCTCTTCGGTAAAATTTGTTAACGACATTTTTACTTAAAACGGAGACCGTTGATCGCGATGTTTGCGCAATTAATAATTTATCGCTGTCAACGATGAGTACCGGGAAAAGTAATATAAAAGAAAAAGCAATGAATTTCAGGGTGCAATAATAAAACATTTTTTAATTGAGAGCTACGGTTAACATGCTCTCATTTATGTTTAGATAACGGTGCTCGTAGTTGGTAATAATTTGTAATACGAATTGCTCTTCTCCTCACACTTGGTTAAACAAGTATAATATTCTCTCATTTGACTCAACGTTTCGCAATACTTTTTACAACTTTTATGTTATTTGCAATTTTTAAAGCAGTTTTGTAACTGTTATTCGTTAACCACGATCTTCGGATATGAAAGCCATTTTACTACCAAATTTTAATTTAAATAGTTGCTGATTACGAATTAATAGGAAGATCGCGTCCTGAAAGAGAATCGTTACTCTCCCTCGATTAAGAACGCCGACTGGACGTTATATCGAGGGAACCCCGTGTACACGAGTTAAAAACGCGTATCTGTTTGAAACTGTGCGTCAGGTTTATTCCTGGCTGTAACCCCACGGTCGAGCAACTTTTCTCACCCCTCTTCGACGACTATGTTCGTCCGTAACCTTTAATCGCGGGGTGTCACAATTAATGCACCGATAGACCTACGATGATGCAAGTAGTTTCGCGCGTCAGTACCTGTTTACACATGCAACGCGTACATGGCTGACTTTTAGTGACGTCGAAGGTCACCGAAGCGTGAATCGGTAAATACTGGACACCATTTATCCGCTGGCGCAAGTATGCACGCGTGAGTGGTAATTTTCAAGCTCCCTCGCGTTCCCGTAGGTAATCGTGCATTCGTCAATGGTTCGTGCCTCGAGCATCTCATTTGTTCGTAACGTTCGTCTCGCGATTCGACTACGCTTCCAACAGTTTACGAGACCGTTAACACGTCAAACAATCGACAACATTAATTAGACTTAAATGTATATTCAGCCAGATTCAAATCAAAATTAAATTAAAATTTGTTGACCAGCGAAATTATTATAATTATGTGAAATTACGTCGTCACGTGTGGTTTCTAACTCTGGTTATTTCTGATTGGTAGTCTTTTCCCCCACTCTCTTTCTTTCTCCACGCTTTCCCCTCTTGGCTCCGCCGGTCCGTCTTACCCAAACTTCCCCCGCGTTAACCCTGTCTTGTTCGCCCCTTCTGCCCTTGATTACCCGCGAGTGGGGTGAAAGGTTGAGCGTCACTGACGCGTCGTGCATTTCATCGCGACAGAAAGGTAACACGCAACATTGTACGCGTAATGCGTTCCACGGCGGTAGTGCATTTCGCCGTTAAGCGCGATCCATCGGCTCTATCTACGGTCACCACGGAAATATCCGACCCGCGGGGCGCATTCGAAATAATGGCCGCGTTTAACGGTGTCACTGGTCACCGGCACGGGCGTGAGACGATTGAGTAAGAGATCCCCGCACGCCGGTTCGTGCGTGGATCCAAAGATAGATATCCCGGCACCGGCTGACCGAACCTAACTGGCCCGACTGTACACACACACGTACGGCCGTCCGATCCCCTCGATGTAAACAATAGGGGTGGTCCTTGTTCCTTCGCCTCGGAATCTTAGATAATCATTTACCATAAAACACAATACAGTACATCGCCTTAAAAACGTTGAAAAATATCTAAATAGCTGCGTGTAAACGGATATCAAAAATTAACCATTTGTTAGATGACTTTAATCGACGGCCAAACCTAACCTCCACGGAATGGATCGATTCGAGACAGCTCGAAACAAGGCACGAAACTATCTACTTAATATTATATATATATTAAGTAATATTTGAGAACATAGATAAATATTTGAGAACACATAATTAGCGACTGGTCGCTAGCGACTATAAATGTTCCGTGAAGAGATAAGATCGATCGAGTTTCAGTTTCTCTCGTCCATAGGTGTCGCTGTTCGGTCCAACCGCGCGACGCTTACGGACGACTCGCTGTGTTATGAATCGGACGTACGATATAGAACCACCGGCGTTGGTTTCTCCGGTGCTACCTCATGGATCTTATTAAACTTGTTGAGCCGTACGTTCCAGGCGTCTATCCTCGAGCAACCACGCGATGTAAACAAGTCCCTGGGCACGCGTGTCGGGCTCGTCTAGCCGGTGACGTAGTCGTTATCTATTCGCCGCTGACACTTCCGGTAAATACGCCTTATCTTAAATTTGTTCGCCTCTTTTTCGCCTCTATGGCTGGTTGAGCTTCGCCCGGGGAATCCGGTATGTTTAATTTCTCCCGTTCGCAGAACCGACGAGAGTCCATCCAACAGCTGCTGACAGCTCGATGATATCCGACGGATAATTCATTGCTCTAGTTGCTTGTGCCGCGCAGCAGCAGGTGGCCAATCTCTGACTCTATCGCTCCCTCTCGTTCGTCCGATCGGTTCGAGGTTACGAACTCTTGGCGAAAGAAATTAATTAT